AGCGATGACAAAATAGATTCTCGGGTATTCTATTAATTATAGTTGACTCTTTGTACTGAGATGTTACTCTTTCTACCTCCTTTTAGTAATCGGGCCCTGAACATGTTTATTTTTTTGATGAAATTTTGATTCAGATCACAAATAAGGTAGTTATGTTTTTATTTACGTTTCCGATTACATGTTAAACATGGACCCAGCCAAAAGAAAGATTAATTGGATAGGGATACCTTGCATTTCTGCTATAGAATGCTCGTAATCTTATCCGAAAAATTCTAGGAATGTTTAATGCAATCTTTTCAAGCCATAATATGTTGTTGGCAAAGCCGTGCATTAATTTGTAAAATCAGGGTGCACAAATACTTCCTTATACTTTGCTCCTTTTTCAATCCCAGGGATCCTACTTCGCGGACGAGCAATAAAATAATCCCGAATACTATTGTTAGAAGAAAAGCTCAAGTCAGAAGAATCGCGAAGCCCGTCAAAGTGACATAAGACCAGATCGTGTCATTATAAGTGATCTATTAGTCATGAAATCAGACTTAAAGTATGTGTCGAACAAACAGTATATGACAGGCGAGAAAAGTGCTTGTGATAATAACGTAATATATAAACTCACGAAACATGACTGTATAAATCCTGACCATGTGCAATAGATAGAAAAGTAAAAGATGAAAAAAGCTATTATATGTACAGAGTGGCAGTCTCTTTTTCATATGTGTCATTAAATAGAAAGATAATAAAGACTCATCGAATTTTTCACCACGCCTCACCAGTTTGAGTGTTTATTGTGTATGGTATTTTTCAGTGATATTCTTGGGTTACACTAACCTGAATCTTTAGCAACAACATACTTGCCACTTACTTGAATCTCATTTACAATTAGGTACAATTCAACCCTCTAATTTGTAATGAACAAATATTAAATTTAATTCTTTAAGTGTAAATCTTAAGAAATACGTATCTCGCAAAGTTTTTTAATGGACATTAGACAAGCTTAAAATATATTGATCACCATTTTGCATTATCATTATACAATATTTTGATTCCCAATTTATACAAGTTAATCAAGCAAGATATAATATTCGAAAATATAGTGAAACCAAAGAATTTAAAAACCATAGTAATATTATTTTATTTGAACGGGAAATTTATTCTAAATTAAATAGGATATTAGATTGATAAAAAATTATCCAAATTTGTCTAAAATAGCATTAATGTATATTTGACTTTCAGTATCAGGTGTTGATGTAGAAAGAAGTTTTTTACCTTATTGAAATATTCTTAGTGATAAATGTTTTTAATTATAAATGTTTTTAATTATCAGAGGAATCAATTTTCATTTTATAAATTTTTTATATTTTAATAAAAATTAATAAATATAATAAAATTTTTGCATTTTTAAGTACATTTTTAACCTTTGCATTTTTTTTCTGGCAGATTTTAAAGTCTTAAAGGGTATGTTTCGGCATATACAGTATAATAAATTACCGCAGCCGCCCTAATACGTAATAGGCGACCGTTGTATATATAGCTTCCCACACTCACTTCATATATTTTCTCAACACAATGACTTCCCACGGCGAGTTTGACTCCTTAAAAGATTTTTTACGAAACGAACCACTCAATAAAATTTCTCTTTCTAGAACTTTTCATGAACTATGGACTCATAGTGGTATACAATCGGAAGAAAATGACTGTAACTGTCTTTTGGAGATTTTAAAAGAGTTGACAACAGAAGATCTTGATAACGATAGAAAGCAGTATCTTATATCACTCCAAGATATTGATAAGGTATATCATTCATTAACATATGTTATTTTTATCTATATGATGACAAAGACACCTCGTTAGTCCGTTAAGCATTGTGTACGGAATATAAGGAGGTTCCCTAAGCGATGGTGACTAGCTATAAGTCATTTGCAGAAATTTTAGTTTTTATTACTTGGTGCAATGAGGATTTGTAAGTGGTGAGATACCAATTGGCTAACGAGAGTGCAGTAACCAGTAATGCCGGCTCACTGAATAATAGACCTGATATACAATATATAGGCTTATCATATTATACCCTTTTATATTCGAGTATTTGGTAACGTAAATAATATTTTTTTTGCAGATACGATATATGTGGAAAGAATTAAAATTATTAGCAGATGTAGAAAAAATTCTGTAAGTGTTTTCTGAAATAAAATACAAGAAAAAGAAATATATATATAACGATCCTATCCTTAAAGATTCGAGACTAATGAATCTCCGAATTGGAAAGATCATTCTATATCTAATATCAATAATTTAAAGGATAAACTAAAGGTTTTTTTGGCGCATATTTATTTTGTCAGGAACCAAATTTAACTAATCATATTACCGATTCCAAATTGTCAGAAAATAAACACATCGGTACACGAACGTCTTCTTGAGGATATTCAAGCCGTAGATATTAACGATTTAACCTATGATAACCCATTGGCTAACGGAATAATTGACCTCGGATCTTCTCAATATCAATTAATGGAGGATGATTATGATGTTCTTGCGGTGAGTTATTTACGTACAGTATATTCTCACAAGGATTATATTGATTGTACGTCATATATGGGATTTTTTTATGCAGTGCCATAAGGAACTTGGAAAAAGGTGCACTGATAAAGGGAGTGTGTGCAGACTTTGTCATAAAAAGAAACGAAATCCAGAACCAGTACAAATTCATCACTCCGCCTTCAGAAACAATGAGACATATGGGCTGGATTGAGGACGAAATCAACAGGGCGCAAATAGCGATAAATATAACAAAAACGCTTCTGCAAGAAACTAAAAGAAACACTCTTCGTAAAATTTCTAAGTCTTCGGAGAATGCTTTCGTGGACACTATAACTCGTCTTGTAGAGGCGTCAATGTATCAAATGCCAGTTGAATTTGACATCGAAGTAACGAGAAATGATCGTCAAAGTGTTGCTAGCAAAAAACGAAAAAATCGACAATTGGCTGGCTCGCGAGGCAATAAACCAGACTTAATGATTCGCGCATTTTTCAAACAAAAGTGGCATGAACTCGCATATGTCGAAAGCGGGAAATGGAAATCAACAGAAACAAAAACTCTTAATGATCATAATAAGCTAGCACGTTTGAGCTTGGACGGATATACTGATATGTCAAAAAAAAACTAAAAAGAACGAGCTTTATAAATTTTATATTATGTTTGGTATCAATATTGCAGGTAAAAAGATATTTTATATTAATAATGTAAATAATAGCCTATCTTCTAATTTGGTTTATAATAATTAGATGACCATAATATTATTATACATGGGTTGTTGCGAGAAAAGGGTATAAAATTTTACCTCCCCATCATAAAAGCCAAGATACCTCTTCCCAACGAAACGGTGTATGAAGTTGAAGAATTTATACATGCCTTACTGATTTTGCGGGTAAGAAATTTTGGCACCTTATACCAGTTTTCTAAAAATCAAAAATTAGAATTCTAATATTCTAAGGCCGATTTCTTATTTAGAATGGGATTCTGGTTAATCTTCATGAAATCAGTCGTATTTTGCTAAAAAAAATCTAGGGCAATCACCGAGGGAGATGCGCATTCTTCTTCTGAAGATACCACTATTAAGACTCCATAATATATACTGTAGAAATAGTTTAATGCGTATTATTAGTATATTCATTTTATTCAAGAAAGAATTTTCTTTTGTGCCAGTTGTTTTAGCAATTTTTTTTTTTTTTTTGCACCTTATAGCTCCGCCAAAGAGTTTTCTTTTGTGCCAGTTGTTTTAGCAATTTTTTTTTTTCATTTTTTTTTTTTTTTTTTTTTTTGCACCTTGTTGCTCTTAACAATAATTTTCACATGGGGATGGGTTGCTTTTACTTTTGCAAAATGATTTGGAAGGTAGAATGTATTTTTTATCAATTACGTATTTTCTTGCAAAGCCACTTATCGATACAGTCAACTTTTGATTATTAAATATGTGATTGACACTGCTAATTCCATAATAGGAGTTGCATTAGGAATGTATCGGTAATCGATTAATTTGCCGAATGCATGTGACGATTATGGTTGGGTCGAAATTTGGTTTGGTTTAGTTTAAAAACTAAAATCGAACAGAAACCGTATAAAACACTCCTGTTTATCCATATATTTATTTATCTAATTACTCATCCTATATACCAATCCATTGACAATATTTATAAATTGTTTTCATACCCACTCATCCAACTTATTCATTTGCTTATTTATCTATCCGTCCCTTAATTTATCTGTTCGTTTATTCATTTAATTATTCATCCCATTCATTTATTCAGCCATCCGTTCACCCACTCTCACTTATCCACTCATCTGTTTGCTCTCCGTTCACTTATTCATCAATCCACTCGCACTTCTGTTCACCTATCCATCCATGTGTTCACCCTTCTGTTCGCTTAATAATCCATCCATTTTCTTATACAGATCTGGGTAAGTTTCCCAAAAATAAATATTACTTTACTGTTTTATATAGCGGTTGAAGACCACTTATTAGTTCATGAACACATTTCCGAAGTTCTGTGCAATGGTCTGATGCAATATTGCGGTTGTATATTGTTGCTTGTAAAAGTATCGAAATGCTCCACCAATTCCTTTTTGCATTCTTCTTATGAATATAATACTGATCATTACCGCTCTCGTATCTTCAGCGATAGTAGGATTAGCCAGATCAAAAAAGTCTCCCGCCGCTTTACCATAAGCATTGTGGATTTGATACGTGATAATAACCTTCAAAATTATTACCAATGGCAACTTTCCAAGCGGCTTCTTCGGCGATTTAAAGTTTTTTCTTTAATGTTTGGTTAAATGTTTCTGGAATATTATATTCTTCACGTAATTTTTTCTTGGCTTTGAGGTGTGCGCGATCTACGTCTGACCAAAAGAGATGACAGTGCCGAAATCGCTTATTGAAATGTGAGACCTTTGCAATATATACCCTTATTCCAACTCTTTCCACAACACTGGTCTTGGATTGAAAGGACCCTTGTTAAAAATATCAGACTCTAAAAGTGCCATGAATTGTATCGAATTTCACTGGTATTTGTTGAATAGTTTTAGATGTCAAAGATTTCGCGATATAGTTATCCTAATTTATGTCTTCACAGATAACGATCCATTTTGTAATAACCTCCGGGTAATTGATCTTTTTTTGCCTTCTTTCTATTAAAGTCTCGGGTTGTGGATTATTATCTGATTTAATATCGTTGTGTATAGGTCTGCTGATAAGATCGCTAGAAAAAAAGTCTTCTGATACCCATTGGGATTAAATATTTCTCGAGTCTCACTATCAGTTGATTCTCGGGTGCCCGATTGAGTTTTATGCTAATAATATATATTCGAAATAGTATCAAATCGGTATATCTCTTTACAAATAGAAAATAATAACGAATGTACTATGGTATTAATTATCGGAATATTCTATGTCTAATTGCTCAGTTGAGCGGGAAGCTAGTTTGGACTCCCTCCCTCAATGACAAAACAATCGAAATCCGACGATTCACGCCCTAAATATACACATAATATACTTTTTTCAGATAATAGGATAACCGAGTTCTATTGTCATTATGGCGGTCAAAAATCATACCGGTGGTTTCAATTATCTAAGTCATTTCCGTGAGTCTCATGAGAGAGTTTAAATTGTGCGTCACAACTTCTTGCTCACTCCTTCGTTTTTTATTTCTACGTGCACGGGCTTGTCGTGATTGGGTGTTACGTGACAGCTTCTTTTCATTTTTTGGTTGAGTTCATGGTTACAATAAAGCGACGCAGAGAAAAATGGTCATAATGTATTAACTAATATAATGAAAAAGATAAAAGCGACATTAGAGCCGAGTCCTGCTTAAATCGAATAGCATATACTTTCACGGAAAAAAAGAAGCGTGGGAAGGCGGTCATTGATAATCGGTAATACTGTATGTAATATACGTCGCTCGTCCGGTTGGTTGGAAATGCGCCAATCATTATAAAACACGGTTAACTTTTCGAAAAAACATTAGCGAAATCAGAAAATTTTTACCGCTATTTTTATAATAAGTCATGATTATAACTATATAATATACGTATGCCAAACCTTTGGCATGTATTTAATAAATTTTAATATACTGTAGTTAAAATATAATGGCGCATTAGTAAAGTGACGAATTTAACGATAAGTAGCGATCAATTTTAGTTAATTAAATAAAATCATTGATTTAAATACTTTTAAGCTTATGAGCGGATAAGTGAATGGATAGATGTATAAGTAAATAGATAGGTGGGTAAATGAACGGATGGATGGGTAAGTGAACGGCTAAGCTCGATCTTGGCCCGAATGTTCCCAAGTCCTTTGTGCTTCTTCCACAATTGCGGTTAACCTCAACGTTATTAGCCAATTCCATTGTGAATCGAAAGATCATTGAAATACGCTTTGCGTCGTGTATCCTCTAGGTTCGTTTGAAGGCGGGCAACTGGTATTTCCGGTGTTGAAGCTAATAAATTATGCATGACATCGCTTTTAGACCTAATATTTTGGTACATGGGCATCTTTTTATTGTTGCTGGCATTCGCCATAGTATAGTACTTTTCATACACGCGACAACAACCAAACGAAAGAGGAAGTTCGGTACCTTATTCGACGATACAGATATAGTTAATACCGAATCATCAACTGGCTCTAAAAAGCAAAAAAAAAGCTCACCCTGTGATAGAGCATTCTAAATCACCTCAGTTGGGTTTGCAATTATCAAAATTGAGAAATTCGCAATGAAGCTACAGTATCTCGGTAATTATTATTGGATTTTTAGTGCATTTTGAGATTGTATTTGCTGATTTATTAGCTGAAAGCTTGCTTACGCTAAGCCTGCAAGAAGAGGTTTACTAGCGTAATACAGAAAATAACATTTTCATGACAGGTTTAAATTACAACTTTCAAATGTATATAAGAATCTATGCATGATCACGATCAATATCAAGTTTAATAATGGATTTAAATAAAGTTACGTATCGGTATACGTAATTATAAAAAGGATAGAAAATATGACTGTGGAATATTATCGTGCTGGTACTCTTATTTATCACCAGAAGAAATCGTTCAATCTTGAGGGACGGTTAAAAATGCATGCAGGGAAATGGCTTATAAATATAGAACTTCAACTCGTAGAATATATGAAGTTTGGAAAGACATGCTGAAGGAATACCCTTGCGCAAACAGCAACTAATACATAATGTTGATTCTTCTGAAATAATACATAAAAATAGTACTTCGGATAGGAAGTCAAAGAAAAGAAAACCAGGATCCAAACTTTTCAGCTAATAAGGTTGGTATAACTGATATTCCGATAAAGAAAGTAGAAAGTAGATGAAATAGATGACTTACAAGCTAGGTTTGCGTAAAATCGCAAAGAAAAGGAAGAAACTAAACGTGAGATGAAAAGAGTCTTAGATTCCAATTAATTTATTTTTGTTTTTTCTAAAGTAGTTTGCAATCTAAATGCCTTTTCAATATTAGACTCATTTCTATTGGCCCGTAGTTTTTTATTAAGCTCAGTATTGGATTCGAGTACCTCATATAGCGATTTTCCTAACTCCTCATGGCTCATGCGTTTTTTTTTAAAGTAGAATTGTTAGAATCAGGGCTAAAACCCGCAGGAGCACATCACTCGTCAAATGATATACCGTTATCCTTATCACTATCCGTCTTTTGAGAAAGTTGATCAGATACCAAAGGTCTATAACCCTTTGGGTTGTCCCTTCGGTCCTGCAAAGCAACGGGACCTCGTCCCTATCATTCTGACATGCGGTAACGCAATTTACTTCAAGTTTATTCTTGACTTTATGCATATCAACTGGAATATTAAAATCTTCTCCATTATATTTTATCATTACCCCAATCTACGGCAAAATTATATTTCTTGAAAAGCGGATTTGGGAATATTAATGTCGGTTTGGGAACTCGAACAACTACAAAATCTTAACGTATAGTAAACCTGGAGGAAATGTTATTGGTAAATTACGAGTGATGCCAATAAATTCTGTTTAAACAGAGCAACACCACCGAAATCATATTTTTCAGATTTATCTATTTAACAATATCTTCAGATACAATTGCAGGTTCGGCCCCACTATCGAATACCAATGCTGGAATTTTTAAGCGATTGATTTTAACTGGTATAGTTGCAATACTTGTGTCGGGTTTTTTCCGACGGACAAAATCTATCTCCATAGGATCGTCCATTATCTCCTCTTCCTCCTCTAAATCAGGTATTTCTGAGATTGGTTCTCGGTAATTATTATCTTGAATAGAGGTTAGCTTTTCTGTGAGAGCAGGCCTTATAGGGCTGAAAATGTTTTAAGACTTTGTAGCAAATATGGAGGTAATAGTTCTTTTAATATATCCATAACAATTTCACGGATTTCTTCTGGAGAGGTCTGCTTTGACTTGCGAGATTTGGATGAATTGGAAACTCGAGATTTCAATCCCTTTTTCTTAGACTTATATTTCCTGGAATTCTGTTTTTGGTTTACTTTTTTTTTTAACTTAGCGATATTAACTTGCATACTCTCAGTTTCAGAGGAGGTATCATCAGAGTCAGATCCAGAATCTGAATCTGAATCTGAATCGTTATTGGAAGAGCTATAATCGAAACTAGAGTCATTGACAGCCATATTAAAACCTTACCTTTCTTTTTAGAGCTACTCTTGGATTTTCTCTTCCGAGAACACTTGCGAGAATTATGTCCAGTCCTATTACAATTTGAGCATCGGTGTTCTGACTTTCTAGCTTTTTTAACAGCTCTGGCTACATGTAATTTAAATTGTTTTTTGGTAAGATTGGTCATTTCTTCATCAGAAACCTTTTCATCATTTTTTATTGCCGATTTTGGGGCCAAATCAGGTTTGAGAAAAGGAACGAATTCTGGAACTTCTCCAGTAATCCATTTGGATAAATCTACCAATGTTTCCATCTCGTATCTTCTGATATGTGCCTGAGGATTGTGGTCATAGTAATGTTGAGACGATGTTCTTGGTTGTAGCGATTGTATTTGCTGAAAATGGGTTGTAAAGAAATAGGTTTAGATTCTGTGGGGTATCATAGATTTTATTAAGTTTCTTACTTCAGTTTCGGTCATACCTTCATTGTTTGAGTAATTATTCTTTCTATGACCTTTACTGGATGATAATGAATCTGAGTTTGAATGGAGATAAGCTACAGATAATTGTTCCGCTGTAGATCTTTCAATTTCTTCAAGTTTCGGAAGTAACTCATCTGGAGATTTTTCAATTCCTAAACGAGCAACTTATATCTGGTTGGCAGGTGAAAGTCCACGAAGAAATTGTAATCGAATTTGTTGCCCATCGATACCAGAGAGCCTAGCTAATCTACATAAATTAGAATAAAAACGGCTGACCGGATCACTTCTTTAAACGGTAGAACCAAAAAGCACCCGTTGTTTTTCAGCAGTAACTGTGGGATAGTTAGTTTTGAAACAGTATAATACTTGTCCGAGTCGAATACCGGTACAACTACAGTATTACCTATATTAGAATTGGATGCATTGGGTAAGCGATCAGTTGGTCGTCCATCATCAAAGACCAATCTTCATCAAATACTGTATGAGCTGGAATTACAATTTTACCGGCTTGTCAATTAGCCCTATTTAATTCTTTTGCACCTAACTGAACTGCGGTTTACCATTGGACTGCGCCTAAATAAGCTCGTGCTGTATTATCAAGTAAATTTCTCAATTCCCAATTTTTTCTGTGGATGATTCTTTCATACCAATCTTTAGCGTCACCCTTGAGAGATGCTATAAAAACACCATGAGCATTGATTCTATTGGCATGACCAGTGCCTACGTCTATTCCAGAACCTACAAGCCACAATCTAAATTCTTCAATATGTTCTTCGGAATCCTCAATAGAATACTCACTGAATTTTTTTAAATCATAACCCATCATACCTGTTCGATTATTATTTATATGTGGATTATTACTCTGAAACACAAAAATTTGCTTGTTCAAATTAATAATTAATTGCTGCTAATTGTGCCCTATCTTTTCATT